TGTAATGGCATGATTAGAATAACTGAAGTCGTGCTTGTTCGCCACGCTGTTGTTTTGAATCTGTTCTCTGGGATTAATGAAACGACTTAATTGGCTATCTCAGCTTTTTGTATCGATTTTTTCTGTCGATGCAAAACAACGATGTTTCTTGTCCTTTTCTTTGACAGTTCCGAAAAGAGTAACGTTCGTTTAAATCAAAGGAGTATCAGTTGGTAAGTACCCCGATATGGTTCCAAGAAATTCGTCTTTTTTCATATACATCCAACATGTTCTTTCTAACAAAAACAGTTTATAAACCTGGAGAATGATGAGACAGTTCTGTCAGGTGACGCTCTCCGTCTGGGGATGGTTAACATATAAATCGCGGCTTCATTAGAATAGCTCGCTTGAGGTCTACTCAAAGGTTGAAATTACTCCCAGTGTCTTCCAGTCCTTAGTGGTTGACTGATCCCACAGAAATCTGTAAAGAACTACAATTGATAAGCCCCGGAAACTTGACGGGTCAGATGGATTACAACCTATATTTGTAAACATATGCACCAAAATTGTGCCACCCATTTTGTCGAACATCAACAATAATTGTCTTTCTCAGTGTTCAAAGCCTCAGTGCTGATGAACAACCAGGATCATACTGATTCTCAAGAAAGGCTCTACAAAATTTCGTCCTTTAGGTCATACTTGAAACCCCTCCGAAGGGAATTTAAAAAGCACGGTTGGTTTAGTTCTTCCCGGTTGAAAATAAACGATTATATTCAATTTGCCTATTATTCTGAAGAGTCCACTCTAGATCCCGTAGTTTCCTAAGATGCTTTTTGTTCTGACACCGCTTGGCAATAAATACTAAGCTATGCTAGTTTGCATTTTAGGTTTCGGCATTGAATTTGAAAGTTTTGATAAACATCAGCTTCTTTGTATTCTTGCTCACCATGATGTCCTTCTGACTGCCCATGACTCTCTGGTCTTTCTTTCCTTACAAGGGGGCTTCCAAGGTGCCATTTTGTCTCCTTTCTTCTGCTCTTCGTACTCAGTCCTTATACTTAGTTGCAATGATTTTACGATGATTAAATAAGCTTGCGAGCTGAGATGACGGCTAAAATGAAACCAGTTTACGTGTCCATTCCACTCAAAGGTGATACATTATCTGAAATGATAAGTAGGCGTCTCCAGACTGCCGTCACAAATACATACTATGCCGCTGATTTACGTATCATTTACACTTCTAAACCATTTCCCTCATTGCAAATGAAAGACAAGCTACCGGTGGAAATGACCTCATTGTGCACTTACCAATTCGTGTGTTCCGGTGGAACCACTCACATTGGTCGCATCGCCGCCGCTTGGCCGAACGCATTTGAGAACACCACCCCATTTGGCCTAATCGCGGATTGACGGGTCCCGGGGGACAGCGATCACGGCTCATTTGGTCGAAACCGAGCATCGTGTCGGAATGAGTGAGGCGGTCAGGCCCATCTATACGATCACCGGGGTGAGATTGAAGCAAGTCACGCATTGCCTACTGTCAACAGCCCAAGCGAGCGCAATTCGGTTGAACAAACTTGTGCATTCAAAAGCAGTCGGTCCGAGTCCTGGATTTGAGTGTCAAATCGTTTATGTATTTGATTCATTCCACAGTACAAATGACATGTGCAGAATGATTTGAATGATGATCTCATACACCCCTAACTGTATTATCCATAGTATGCATACACATGCATACAAACACAGATATTATTTACGCTCTTTCTATTTCCTTAAATTATATGATTTTGTGACCTATAAAAGAGTGTTGTATTTCGCTAGTAAATGAGGCATTGAAAACGGGCTTGTTTGCCAGATTGGCTTCTTGAGCTCAGGTTTTGCTCNCCCTATCGCGACAGCTCTGTCCTACCTGCCAGTCAACTCGTTATCTCACAACGCAACGAGTGGTCTTTTCACATATCCTTTCTCTGAACCTGACTAAATGTGTTGATCTTTTATTTTCTCTGCATAGGGATAAATCATATGCTGATTCCATTTAGATGCACCAACTACTACTCTTAAATAATATATCACTTGGTCGGGGGATATCAGTCAAATACTTCGGCTCTTTCCTAATCAGTGCCCCATTCGGTTTGATCACTTTATTGATGTTTTTTTCAAAAGTCAGAATGTTTTCGTTTTATAACCTCTGCCTAAATCTTTATCCATTTCCTTACAGCTTATGAAACAGTTTACAAATCCCTACATTTTCCTACATTTGGTCTGTTTTCCCATTTATTTGTGCTGGTTTATTATGTAAGGACACATGCAATATTCAGATCGCCTAGACACTCATGTTAAGTGATTAACCCAGGGATAACTTTATCTATCATATTGTGTTTCATCACGTAAAGCTTGGTAACATGATATTGACTGATCCACGTTATCCCGTTAATTCTAAATGGTCTAATGTTTTTGCTACCTCCTGTATAGACACCGTAAGAATACAACTTATCAGAGGTTTTGTAAATCAAACGATTTTTTCTGATCAACACCGTATTCCAAGAACTAAATCAATACCAGGCATACAATCGATTTTTAGCATGTTTATTCATCCTTCGTTGGGAGTTTGTCAGCTCAGTATTCAAGTAAAGTGGCAATAAAGCAACATCTTGAAGTGGCTTATACACATTAGGTCACTATTATTCCTTGCATTATTACCGAAAAAGGGCTATGGTATTTCGTTTAACTTTGTCATTCACTGACATAAAAACGTAGGCAATCACATGGGCACTTGCATAGCATAAATCATAACAAACGAAATTGTGCACGCATGCCAAGGGTTGCCGAAAGTAGAAGTGAAGGGTCAATTCCAAGGCAAGCGGACCGATTGTGTAAAAATCTGTTGCCACATAAAAGCGGGCGATGTATTCAAATCAGCAACGCTTCAGAAACCCAGCCCAAGCGTTAGTAAAAATGTTGTATACATAAAGCTTGCGTTCTAAGATGACCATGTTTCAAATGATGTTCGTCAGAAGTTGAGGTCAGTTCTAGGCCGAGCAGTCCCTGTTTCTCAACTAGAACGTATTACCTGCGCTTGCGGAATCGAGCTTAACAAACGCCATCACCGCTGACAAACTGGTTCTGTCTCACGTATTGTCTACCTTATTATCTGCAATTGTGATGACGCACACATAGACAAAAGAAACCATTAGCTATCACAACGGATGGCGAAGTTGATGACGCAACCGAACACCGTTGTTCAGGTAAACACAGGAAACCCAAGGCCATTATCTGTTGGAAAACAGGTCAAGACGAAAAGACAAAACTTACAATATTTAGTCTTTCAAACCTTTGTTGAGTAACCGTAATGCTGAAAATAACGATCAGTGAAGCACTGCTTATTTGATTTCATTGCCCGATTTTATGCGACAAAGTTCTTGATACGATCGATCCGCTTACAGTAAAGTAAACCTATCATTTCTATTTTCGGCAATCTTTGTCCGCATGCACAAGTCCCTTCGCTATGAGGGATGAACCATGTGTGCCACATAAATGCCAGCATTAGTTTGTCAGTGACTGAGGAGAATAAACGAAATGTTCACATCTTGCAATATTGGCTTTATTTCAGTAATAATCCAACAGAATGTTTTCTTTTGCAAACCTGAATAAATGCCCAAGTGTAGACAGTTATATTCCCTTGATATAACTGTGTTCTCATCATTTAACACGCTCCAAATTAGGTCACATTTCATCTCGAATTAACGCTTACCGCTATTCACCTGCACCGTCTGTTGTTCGTCTACCCATAAACAAAGAGCGAAGGATAAGTTCACTTTGTCTTAATCCTGGATTATGAAATGTTCCCATGTCTGTAAATATTTTCTCTCCGTTGATTATGTACATTAAAACGGTTAACGTGTATGACTTTTTCACTGAAATGTGAGCTCCAGTGCTTGCAAAAATTATACACTACAATATTTTTTGAAGCTAAAAACAACATTGATAGAAGTTAGACATCATCCTTAAGTCCAGTTCGCCCTGTGGATCTCCTTCTTTTCTAAAGAAAGAGAGTTCAGTCTTATCGAAGCATTCACAGTTGCAGTTGTTCGCCTTTGGCATATTTGTGAACCCTATTGAATGGTGTGTATGATCCAACAGCAGCCCGTTTTCCGGTCCGAAGAACTCATAGTATATGCTAGAGTATGTGCAAGAGCTGGATGCACACTTTTAAACACAGGTGATACTAACGGTGGGTGTCTTGCTCATGCACATGCTGGGGTGTGCGAACAGGGAGGGGACGGGGAGTAAACAAAACTAATGTTCACGCAGCTGAAGCGGAAATCGAATACAAGGAGATGGATTAAAACATTCACAAATCTTGTTTTATTTGGATTGGTCTAATTGGACTGCAAAGTACAAATTCCAGTGCAGATATGATTGCTACGGGTCAAGGTCAGTGCAAATTCATTCGTTCCAACCGAAGCCAATGCCGAATAAGAAGATAAGATCACCCCAAGGAAATCCTCAGATTCACTTAACAAATTACAGTGTAGGAGGGAGTAGAAACATCAGGGTGCCTGGACAGCAAAATGCATGGTTGTTCGGAGTGTTTAGCAGGACGAATCTCCAAGCCAAACTTTCATAAGTTCCTCCTCCATCAGAACTTTTTGATCATTGGTGTAATCGTAAAACTTCAAATTGATGTTATCTGTCGCAAACTTTGTAAAACGTGTTATTTGTTGTTAACTCCATATGTCAAGTGCACGAGCTTGGAGGGCACGAGTTCACTCGTTCGTATAACATATCTCCTATCAGCTGAGCTACCAGATACCTAGGAAAAAGTGAATATACAGCGTTGGTGAACGAAAAACACTTTGGAAGTTCACGGCCCCGTAAGAAACTTGGTAGAGCAGTATGGAACTATTAGATCTGCACGATTTCTAACCCAAGCGAGTTTTCCAACTTAAAAGTCATTTTTTGAACAGTGGTACAAACCATTATGCAATCTCTAAAACGCCCAAGATCACATGCATTACAGGTTTCGTTTATTACACATGTTCCGGGACTGTACAAAACAATTGTGTATAAATGTCGAGTGACGGAGGATTTCTGTTAACAAAACTAATATTCGTACTCTATCGTAAAAATGTCCTGTCATAAAGATTGGTCTCTCATTTTCCCCGTTCGCCAATAAGTCTCACCTTTAACTCCTCGAAAATTCGGTAAATTTGTTCGCCCTAATCAATGCGCCAGTTCGAGATGACACAAACCTCTTTCACACTATTTAAATCCGGTCGGATGATAAAAAACAACAACCATAATTCTGGAGGGTTAGTCAGCATTCGTGGTCACATTGCTCCTCCTCAGTGTGATTGGATGTAATTCATACAAGCGATCAATCTCCCACCTCGGGGGTGTCAATAAGTGACCCATTTTGAAACAAATGAACAAACGATACTTGACTCTCACAGAATTTGGGTAACACAGCCTCAATGTGGGGACCAATGAGGATGCAAACCGTTGAGCACTTAATTATCTTTCCATTTCCTTCTTAAATCCTTATCTGTTATTAATCATTTACTGTGTATTATAATAGTTGGATTATGATCCACTGAAAAAAAAACCTGCTTATCACTTCGTCCTATTATCGTGCATTCCCTTTGACTGTTTTAAAAAATATTCCAATCGTGTTGTTCTCGTTTGGTTGTGGGGCGTTTTGAAATAGCTATTTTACCGTTCGCATACTCAGTTAGAGTACCAATATGTTTCAATTTGGCCGCAGGCGTTATCGGGCTAGATGCAGCCCTCTATTGGTCTGAACTTTGACTCCATCCTTATTGCGCAAAGTATTTAAAAATGTATGCTGTGGTACGGAATGTGATACTGCATAGTGAACTTCATCGAACACAGAGCTAATGAAGCGTGGACTGAAAAGTTAGGAACCATATAGAGCTGTTTCTACCTGGTTGGGTCTTATCAGCGGTGCGAATCTAACGATCCGAGTGGGGATCTTAACGGGGATCTCACAGGTAGAATGCAAGCATACTAATCACTCGGTCATTGAGGAGCTGAGCAGATCTTTTTTCATTTCGCCCTAACTCGATATTGCACAACTCATCTTTGTGAGCACGTGGCGGGCATTGCAGCTCGTCCATCTCAGTACTAGCCTCCGGGGCTATGACTCGGTTGGGAACATTCCAACCTGACTACTTGTTACATGACATGCTATATCCAGAAAAAGTGAATGAATTGATTGACTATGATCAAAAGCTTTAACCGATCAAAGCAGGATCTCTAGCATCTCTAAATAGGAATATTGCGGAGGCTAACTGGTAAACTGCTCAGTGGCATTGAACCTTAATAGCTCCATGCTCTGTCAAAGTCTTTGTGATTACCAGAGATGCATACATCAGATAGGCCATCATTTC